GTGCGCTATTGAAAAACAGGTTTTTGCATTTGCTCAAGCACTTTTGAAACAGACAAAAATCCTGTGGTATTTTACTGGAAAAACATTTTATTCTGAATATACTTGGGCAAATACAAAAACCTGTTTTTCAATAGCGCACGTCGAGTACATGCGAAATATATGTCATCCCACGTTCTACAATCCCGTGGAATGGTGCAACACGCACTCAAACTTTGAAAAACGAGGAAAATCGCTTTTAAAAGTTATTTTATTCTATCATTAAATGGTTTTTAGTATCAATGAGGATCACTTCATCGGACAGAGCTTGAAAAGATGCGTCGAATGCGTATCTTGTTGTCGTCTTTTGACATGATTTTATGGGGAAATATACCTTACAAAAAGAGCTCCCTAGTGAGAAACTTACTTGAATCTTACTCAGATCTTACAAAAATCGTATTAAGATCTTAGTAAGACTTCGCCTACATTTGTCTAAGATCTTCGACAAATCTTACTAAGATCGTCAGGCCCGAAAATTCTAAGATTTAATAAGATTATACTGTCTAAGATTTTTTCAAGATTGGATAAGAATCTTTAGTAAGAATGATGACATTTTTAAATAGTATTCATTCCAGATTTGCTAGAACTTTTGAAATTTTATTCCGCATTATCCAAAGCAGCAGCTGAAGAGTGTTAAAAAATGAAGAGAAACTTCATATTTTCGGGTGTCCAACCATGGACCTTGACCAGTATGTACACTCCCTAAAACGTTGTTGAACACTTTCGAGAGAGCAAGTACTAGCAGAGTCTAGAAGAAAACTAATCGTAAAATCACTCATATTTTCGGTGTTACTCATATAGATGAATGAGAGCAAATCAAAGGGGTGAATGAAAGTAGAGTCATTAAATCTAATTAAGATCTTAAACGATAAGATCTTAGATTATCTTAACAAAGTCTTAAAGGATAAGATCTTAGTAAGATAATCTTAAGAAGTATCTAGGATTTTTACTAGGGACAGTACGAACACGGATGAAACGTAGTATGTCCCCTTATTGGACGTTCAGTGTGGACGATGTTTACCACGCTTCATCCGTGATTTTTCACATTCGAAGTGTAAAACCTCTTTACAGTGTAAAAGCAACAAAGATCACTAGGATGTTTTCTCTTTCTAAAAAAACGCAAAGAACGTTCTAAAAACTGCTTTTTGACTTGAGCCGAACGTAAATGCTCCGGTCTGTACATACTCGACACGATTAACAGCGTTTTTGATTAGATGGGGGAAGGTGGGGATCTCCCATCTTGTTTCGATCAGGTAATCCATAAAAAATTTTGAGTTACTCACTTGGAAGTGAGTAAAGTTTTATTCTATTGCTCTCGTATAAACAGTGAGAAATTAGTAATTTTGTGTGAGAAACAGAACGGAGTCGCAGGAAAAGATTGATCATTTTAAGTAATATGCTCTTTCACGTATCACACTTCATCAGCGTAGGATGATACCTATTCAGCCAACATAAAAGTTACGCACCTAAAAATAATAGGCTACATTCTTCCATGTGAGCAATCTATTTGAGTACGTTCTGGAGAAGTTGCTAAGTGTTTCTTCTCCGAGAATAAAAAATAAACTAAGAAGTAGACCCGGGTCACAGGCTCTAGAGACAGTTGTTTAGAAGAAACAAAATGCAAAAAATATGGGACAGAATTATACTGCGGTTGCAGGGTTACGTTTCCAAGCAGAACTCCAGTTTAACTAAACCTGTCCGAGCTAAAACCACACTCGATTCAATGTCCTAGATCGTTTTTGTGTCATCTAATGCTTTCTTTCTATCTGGATTGCATTTTGACAAGCAGGAAGTTTTTCACTGTTTTATTTCATTTTTGTTTGATCAAATATTTGTTTTCTCTTGTGAAAACCCTTACATTATCTTTTGTTTTTTCACGTTCGATTGAAACAAAAAAAATGATACTAAATTCTCCATACCTGTCAAAAAGAAGGTTTAAGCCCGAACGCCCAGATCGGAAATGAAATATCTTTGTAATTTAACAGGACAAACATGAATAACAACTACCATGGGTAAGAGTTAGACACAGTATGCATTGTATTGCCAGCATTAGTAATGTTCGCTTTCTTTTGTGTCAGTGTACTTTTCTTTCCAGTGAGAAGATTTCTGCTTGTTCACATAGGTACCTGGTGTCTTATGTACTATCTAAACCATGGAGAAGATACTTAGTCAAAACTTTTTGTTTTCTGTTCCAGATATGTTTCGTTTCACTTTTGCTATGTACCAAACTGCAAAAACAAGTTTCAGTTTCATAAATGAATAGAAAATAAACATAATCACTCAGAGTTGGTCTTGAAAAGCCGACAAAGTGTTTCTTCAATTAGAGAATATTCTGCTACTTGTCCAGTGTCTTTTCTACATCCACGGACGTTTCTAGGACCCATCAATGGGAAAGTTTAATCAATGGGAAGTCAAGCGATAAAAGCAGCTGATCAACCACGAGCTCAATGGTATTGGAAATCGAATTCTGATCCATGGTCAACAAATGAAAAAGAAGAATGGACAAAATATTCTGATATCGAATCGGCGATTACTGAAGAAGCATTTAATAGAAAAAATCAAACAAAACTAGCTGACCTGGATAATTATTCGATTAACTTAAACAATTCTATTCAAATCAATAAATCGGATCCAAATAAATAACAGCCAATAAGACGAGTTTTAATTAGTAGAAATGAAAGTCAAGGTTTAAGAGAAGAAAGATTTTTTCTCCCATCAGCATCGAGTAAAATGTTCAATGATGACTGGGGCAAAGACGCTTATACTTTTCTTTCACAGTGGAAAAAAGACAATACACTTTCTGATGCTGAAATAGTGAAGCAGGCAGCGAATGGAATAATTATCGAAGGAGAGCAACTACGTCAACATTGTGCCTCACAATGTATAGCTCGTCAGCTGATAGACGTAGAAAACAAGGACAGAGAAGAAATTTACAAGTGTTGCACTCAGCTATACACAATGAAATGCTTTCTATATAAATTAATAAATAAAGCACTGAGAGAAAACCGCATGAGCAAAGTAAACACTTTCGGCCCATTTTGCTACATTTTATTCAGAAGCTGGCTAACAAAAGCTACGAAACATACAGCGAAACTCTATCGAGGACTAGACATCGATCACAACATACTTAACTCGTCCCATGGAGCGACCGGTCAGATGAGGAGCTTGCACGGATTTACCTAAACTAGCACAAACCGACAAAAAGCGCAAAAATGCGGCAACCTGTTATTCGTTATTGACGCGACCGGCAAAGGTGGTTTAGACATATCGTCGCTTTCCCAATACGACGAAGAAGTCCCATTGCCACCAGGAACACTATTTGAAACCATGCCAGTCAAGACAACCACCCAAACCCTCATTTATTTGAAACTACTGCACATCACACAGACATCATCCCCCGCCAAAACACCCCGTCGCCAGACATGCATTACTGCGACGAAACTGAAATGACATCTGCCCCCAGCTGTTGGTGATCTCACTATCATCAGATGAGCATTGACACGACGAAAGTGAAATGTCATCTGCTGTCACAGAACATCTAGGAAATAGATGAATAGTCTGTTGCTTCACATTTTTCACTAGCGGCATTATCATTCATTCAGTTGTTGATGACCTCGTCATCATCAGATGAGCATTGCTGCGACCAAAGTGAAATGTGATCTGGTGTCATGGAAGATCTAGGAGATAGAGCCACAGTAAAATCTTTGGCATTCTGCACTAGGTGAATCATCATTGATTCAGTTCTTGGTGACCTCGTTGTTGTCAGATGAGGATTGCTCTGACGAAAGTGAAATTTGATCTGGTGTCATGGAACATCTAGGAGACAGATGAATCGTCTGGTTATGATTCGCTGCATCATTATGGATTCAGTTATTCGTGACTTGGTTGTCCTCAGATCAGCATTGCTATGACGAAAGTGAAATATCATCTGCTGTCATGGAACATGCAGGGGATAGAGCCACAGTATAATCCTTGGTATTCTTCACTAGCTGCATCATTATTGATTCTTGTTGGTGACCTCGCGGTCGTGAGCTTTGCAATGCTGTGACGAAAGTGAAATGTCATGAGCTGTCACGGAACATCTAGGAGATACAAGCACCGTATAATATTTGGCATTCTTCACTAGAGGCATAATCATTGATTCAGTTGTTGGTGACCTCGTGATCGTCAGCTTAGCAAGACTGTATTTTGATCTGCTTCGTTCGTGAATTGCGGCGTGGCTGATTCGACCGTTGTGTAGGTTTTGGTGGTTTCTTGCGGCTGGCTTCCGGAGAGGCACCGGGTCTTCAAATAATAGCTTTTTTCTGGATACTTATGCAATTAAAATTTTTCTAAACAGACAGATTTGTAGAGCAAACGTTTCTGATTAAAATAAGACCTCGCACGAGTCTGTGTGACCTTGCATCAAAAGTTACAAGCATTTTCCTAGAGGTTCTAAAATTGAGTATTCCATACAGCGTTTTCTCTATATAAAAGTTACACATGAAGTATTTCCCAAGATTTTTTATAATGGTTTGTCATAGAGAGTTTATTCTTTTTTTGTTTAAAAGAGGAAAAGAAACTACATCGTCTGATCAGCGCCATTTTTTGAATTAGGTCTTAGTTTGTTATCAAATTAAGGATTTTTATAAAATCCGGGAGGAGTTTTCGGGTTTTGGAGGTTGTTGGTTGCCTGGAAAACCAATAAAGGCTTAATTGCAAAATCGCCGCTTTTCAAACCATGTAGTTAGGTGTCTAGCTTAAAACAAAACAAATCCGAACTCTCCAGCTTGAAGTATATTAAAAAATCTTGGGACACACTTCAGGGTCTTTTTTGGATCTTGATCTCTGGAGAACTCCTGAGCGGTAAGACTTGAAGACAAAAAACTTTGTTCATTCCCGTAACTCATTAAGCTAAACATTTATGGAAAGTTTCGTCAAGATCGCATGTACGGTGTCGGAGATAGTTTCTGAGGGGGTTGGGCCCTTAAATAAACCTAACAGTTGTGGTAACCAACCTCATAATATGGGTGCCAATTTTGTTCCACGTTTAGCAACAGATAGTCCCACATATGGTACACAATCTGAAAACGTTTGGGTAGCTGTTTCTATTACGAACAGTCTTCTTAATACGTTTCCCCTTCGAAACACAAAGTATGCTGCCATAATTTATAAACTGAAAATTACGCAAGATTGTATTAATGACCATATTAAGAACAACGACAGGCATTGAAAAAGTATTTATAGAATGAGGTTCTTGACCTCACTGATCTTCCTTCTTCTAATAGTATCAGCGATCCTCGTCGTTCACCAAAAGTTAGGCGATCGTTCTTGGCAGCTGCTTGTTTAGAGTGAGCATCTTCAGGATGACAAACTTCCTCCACATTTCGCATCAGGTATACATCACCGATCATATATGATTTGCGAGTTTTATTACAATTAGAAAATTGTTTCAAAATAATCCTTTACATTACATGGAGATATCCTCTTCATGCTCTCCGTCATATTCCGAAGTACGTGCATTGACTTTGCAAAGCACATTAGCTCGTAGGTGGAGCAATTCTCTAAATCTTTTTGTAAGGAACTTTGTACGTATAGTGTGAAATAGAGATATAAAATAGAAAATACATTTTGAAGAAAATCCCATTACTTTTGGTAGATGCCATGCGTTCCATTTACCCCATACAGACACAGCAAACGTTCTAATGTCCCACTTGCTGGAAATAAGAACGTTTCGGACCCTCCTGTATAATATAATATTATAATAATATTATATTATATAGGAGGGTATACTCTATAATATTATATATATTATATATCCCACAGTAAAACTGCCCCCAGTCCTGATTTTTCCACAATTCGGTGCCTACTACCATCGTCTACAACTTTTGCATTGGAAGTTTTGCGAAAACGTATAAGCTTTTAAAGTTATAAGAAAACTGCCGCAAAACTTTTTGACCGCGTTCGAATTGCCTCAGGTGCCTCTATGAACTATAGATTTATTTCGCACAAGTCCTTTAGTTGTTATACGGATGGGCTCAAAAGGAGGTAGAATATGATAAATGACCTTTTTGCAGAACGGTTTTCTCATCCGATACCTCTGGAAGTTTTGGCGCTTATAAACCAATGATCAGTACTCATGTCAGGCTTTCGGATTTATGGCATATTCGACTTCAGTTTTGCTGCTTTATCACAACAGATTTTCCTAGGAGCCGCTGTAATAAACCAGTATGAACAAAAAACTCAGACATCGATTGAGCAACTTGTGCGACAAAAGGCTGTCCCTACCGTGCAATGACTCTTAAGCCTAGGCTAAGAAATGCACGGTATAAGAAAGATTTTCTTGAATCGTGTGGATTCGGGAGATTGTGTCTGTCACTCAGAAGGGAATCGGATAATGTATAAAGTAGCATTTTGTAATAGTTGTATATTTTTAGATTGATTCCGCATTTCTGTAGTTTTTTTCAAGATTTTCACGTGAAAACAAACCGTCTTTTGAAAATGGCCTAACGTAAATTTGGTTTTGCAATAAACCACTAAAGGATACAGCGGTTTAAGAAAATATTCGATTTTTAAAACGTTTTCTTACCATTTGTGTAGAGAAAACATCGGCGGCTTATTTCGTAAAAAAAATTTAGTTCAAAGCCTCGTGGTTACTGGAAATTGCTTTGATGAGTCTCGGAGAGTATTGTTCCTGTCAGTCTAGAAAGAGCTACCTATGAAAAATTAACTAAAAGGTATGCAGAGCGCGTTCAAATGGCGTTAGATAGAGCTTCGAATTCTCTACAAAATTTTGTGCTCTGAGGTCTAACACTTTATCTTATGTCAAAGTTACAAGGACAAAAATTCCAAAATAATCACTTTGTCAAAAAAATGCTGTATGTAAAAACTGTGTTGAAGCACTGCGAAGAATGAGTGTAACAAAAAGATTCTTTCAGGAAAACCTCCTGATGGTGTCCCCAACAAAGTAGCAAAAAACATTTCGAATATAGTTACGTACCTTTTGACTTATGATTCAAACATTTGAAAAAAGTGCACGTTTTGGGTATACCAAAAAAAGTTTTTTCTGGCTTTTCTCAACCAATTTTTTCGAATGGTAAAAGTCGCAAGTCTCCAGTCTTGTTAGGAAAAAAGCTATAGCCATTTTACCCTCACAGCTGAAAAATGCATTTTCGTCATTAGTTTATTGATAAGAATAAGAAGCTTTTAAACAGTTTTGATATGGTTCAAATGGTTATACCCTTTAACCTCTTGAATGCCGTTATTTTTCCTTTTACGCGTCCAAAGGCATGCATATGTAAAAAAACGATTAAATATCTCTCTTTGTGTTGTGTTGTTTTCGTGGCAGGTGTTCCTCTGGCAGTTTTTTTTCGTTAAATCGATAGAACGAAAAAGCATATGCAACACTGTTGCATATGCTTTATATACATATGCATATGCTTTGCATATAGTATAAAATTTCCATCATATCATCTATAGATGCCTTACGGCATTCAAGAGGTTAAACGTTTTTTAGATAAGATCGAAAATGGCATTAACGCGAATGAATTTATATTTATAATGTTAAAAAGCCTGTAACTCGGTCATGTGAGATCGTAGAAACTTGCCCAGTATCTCTCATTTGATGGAGAATTGAAGGGGCTATTCATTGATATAGTTGAAAAGCTTCTGAAGAAAACTTTAAGATCACTACACTCTAAAAAAGAAGGTATTTCAAAAAAAAACCTAAAAATTATTTTCCATTTGAGAAAAACAAAAAAAGGTTTAATCACCCGGGAAAAACGTTTAAAAGGTATAACCATTTGAACCTATCATAACTGTTTAAAAGCTTCTTGTTCTTAAAGCACTCCTCTCCCCCTCAGAATAAAAGACCATGGCCTCCTCCTATGGTGGTTTAGCACATCGCACTTTTTTTGGTGAAAAACTGCCCTATAGGACGCGTTTTAAAAACTTTCGCTCCAGAGTGGCCTTCTATTCCGGGAGAGGAGGGCCTACCAGATTAAACTAAGGTTGGGAAAACACAGCTTGATTTTGCACGACGAAAATCAAATCTTTCTGAAATTGGCCCAAATTTTTATGAGGATCAAATGTACTGATCAAAATGAGAGTCTTCCAAACTCTCAACAACCCTCTGCCAAACTTAACAAGTTTGCTATTATCCTTCAGACTATAGATATAATTCGACGTTTGACGTGCTTTGGTTGAATTTAGAACAGAGAATGTCGAATTCTCGATGTTTTGAAAGATCTGCAGGTTTCTGCTTTAAAAGTGTAACATCTTCATAAACTTTGGCCACACATTCATTGTAAAACAACATTATTTTCGTTTATTACACCTATTTTGACACAGAGTTCTTTCGTTTTTTCAACTGGTTTTTGTACACGGTCAGTTACAATCACATCCATCCAAACGATGTTATTCGTGCCACACATAAATAAAAAGGTGTAACATCATGGAGTAAATAATCGTATTGCCATTCCTCATTCTTGTGAAGGTACTTTTGTTGTATGTCGCGAATTTATGATCCGGATTTGCATACCAAAATTCAAAGTACCTATAGTTTTACTTAATTTACTCGATCATTTATTAAATGGCTCTGTATAGAGAACAGCTAGGGAGTTATAGTTTTCGTCATTCGAAAGAGAGAACTTAAAGGCATCTCTTCATAAACAGAAAGCAATTGAAAAACCTTTTGTTGAAGTAGGTTCTTTAGAAGATCTTTGGACAACCATGTAGTAGCAAATAGCAAAATTAACAATTTTTCGCGTATAATAAACTATTTTTTCCGTCCTAGAGGTGACCTAGGTTCAATAATAGATTACGAAAGTACATCGAAAGGCATGGTACTAAGCCAGATGAAGATTGATTTTGCTCCACTTTGCTTTGATTTTTTTCAAAAACCTGTGGTGAAGCAGAAACGGTGAGATATTTTCTCTTGGAATGTCCACTACATCGAAATAATCTCCAAGCTGACTAGTCTACTGTAGCCCCGGATATCTCTTTCACTCTGTTAAATGTGCTTTACTGTGACCTCTCTATTTATGCGTGTATGCTGTTTTTTTATCGACAATTTGTATATTATTGCATCTTGATCTAAGCAGTTGTTTATTAATCGTGATGTAATGGAAAACTATTATTGCATCTTTTCCTATGTATGAATAGACAAAATGATACAATGGGTTCGCCTCTTTCTTTTTGTTCTCTTCATTTATTTAAACTTGTTTTCATTCTTTTCTTCAATAAATAAAGCTTATAAGATGCCGATAAGGCACACTTGCAGTTAAAAATAGACTTTATCGAATGGTGTATAAATCAGCAGAGAATCCAACGGCGATCACGAATATGTGGTCCCCAGATTTTTGAGAAACTTCGAGAAAACTTGAGATGATCCGAAAACCGGAAAAACATCCGTTTTTAGAAAAAGCTCTATAGTTTCGCCGTGAAACGTTGTAGAGCCTTACGGTTTGAATATTCAGGTTCAGCATTGAAAAATGAATCCACCCATATGCTTTTCAAAGTTTCAGACCGAAAACTAAATTTTTGGCGAATCCCGAAACCGAGACAGATCAAACTTCGCAAACCTATCTAGTTTTTTGTGGAAGGTCGTAGAGCCTTAATTCACACATGGTTAGATGCGCCGTTAAATAAGCCTCAAAACAACAGCCCGCTTTTTAAAAATTCTTTTTCTTCGCTGAGAAAATTCATTTTTTCTAAATATGAGGCGAAAAAGTCGCAATGCTACTCGTAATTCTCAATTTTCTCAATCAGAACTCAACTTCTATGTAATAAAAATATTATATTCGGAATCAGGATCAAGAACTGAGTTCTGAGTAGATTGATGTGTACTTCGAACTTTTTAGTTCATTTTCATTTTTTGGTGAAAATCAATTTTGCTATTTGCTACTACATGGTTGTCCAAAGATCTTCTAAAGAACCTACTTCAACAAAAGGTTTTTCAATTGCTTTCTATTTATGAAGAGATGCCTTTAAGTTCTCTCTTGCGGATGCTACGCAATTTAAAATGTAGATAATAATTTCAGTTTTGTATTACCCGTTGAAAAGTTAACGCTACTGGAATTTTCAGTTGAAATACTTATTTCAGAACAACTGCATTCACTAACGAGGCGAGGTCTTCAGATGCACAACTCTGTTTTTAATGATATTATGCCAGTTAATAGAGAAAAGTGAGCCGATAAAAACCGTTAAAGGAGGACCCATATCAGTTCTTTCAAAAGTTATAAATTGTTTTGTGCTAAAGGAACACTGTGTGTAGCGACAGTAATAATTCTGTAACCCAGTCAAAACAAAGAATTAAGAAGTAAAATTTTCTTTTGTACTTTCGCTAATAGCCTGCTAATATTGGAGAAAATTTGAGCGTTATATCTTCCTAAATCCGCTTGTTATTGAACTTTTCTTCTTGAAGGAAAAGAATGTTTTTTCAAACCGCACAATTTTCAATGATAACATTTTCTTTTATTAGAGGTGATATTGCGAATGGTACCTGGTACTTAAATACTAATTAGTTATATGAAACTAAAAAAGATGGACCAACAGACCTGCAGAGAGTCCTCGGAGATTTTTATGGGAACTTCCCGGCGATGTTCTTGGGGAGAGTCGACTAGGGAGGATCGATTTCTGATGACTTATGGCCGCCTCAAAAGTCGATGAAAGTATAGGTAGTCCGAATCGCTGAGTCTCGTGGCGGCTAGATTACAGATCATCCTTCAAATATATCATCGGGACTGAAAATCTGATTATCAAATGAAAATTTATCGAAAACGCATTATAAATCAAAATAGAGAAAATTCACTTTTAAACCAAATAGTAGCTCCATGGAGTCAGGATCAATCCGAACTGACGTGGACAAGTTTCTCCTTGGAGTTACTATTTTGAGCTAAAAAGATACAACGTTTTTAAACGGATCAGTTTTGAAACCTGGTATTTCCTAGATATATTGTATGTGTTAGCAATAGGTTACAGTTTAAATTTGGTTTTACTAACCTATATAGTTGCAAAGACATTTATGTTTTCCAAATTAACTCCTCTATAAATTTTTCTTGGACACACTGACACTCCAGAGTTAAAAACTCAATAATTATAGAGAGAATCAAAGAATATCAAAGTCAAACTGTTTAAAAGTCATATCTTTATACTCACTTCATAATGCAGACAAATGTCTGAATATTATTACATTAAGATGTTTTGTGCATAACCTTTCTACAAAAAAACTTTTTATCGGCGCTAATGCGCACCGATGCCTATCGAATAATATTTTTTGCCGGACATCGATGCGAGATCTTGACATTCTTTCTGACACCGGTGTGTACCGATGTCAAAATCGCGAGAGCTGAGACTATCAGAGAAGGGGACATGTGTGTACTAATATGGATAGACGTCATCATTCTTAAACTTATTAATTCAATACATCGCATTAACCAAAAGCATCCCTAACTGCCATTTTGTTTTATCAATGTTTGCGTATATAAATTAAGAAAAATAACTCTTCAAAAAAATTTCAGTGCGGCTAATCGGTACTGGTGTACATCGGTGCAAGCAAGTGCCAGGATCGATGGCATGCCATGTATACAGGTGCGCACTGGCACTGCAACACTGATTTTAAATAGTGACGCACTGAAGTTTTTTTGTAGAGTTGTTCGTTTTTTAGAAAATAAGACAGCTCATATCAAGACTTGATTATAGATGTTTGTACGGTCTTAGATGTGTCTTTTATCATCATTTAACGTTAGTCAACATAACCAGTACTCGGCGAAATGAAACAAGAATACGTAAGTTACCATTGTTTGGGGCAAGTCACTACAAAAGTCACTGCAGTTGGAACTTTTTTCTTTAATTAATAAATTAAATTCGTTAATCAACACCAGTCATAGCATCGAAATAAGAGATGAAATCATTTGTACAATAGATGACTCATCAACAGAGGAAAGAAAGTATGACTCACTCGCAATAAACTATTTCAACGTTTCTGTACTAGACTCTACAGTACATACATATTAATATTTATCAGTCGATATAGGACGAAGATGTCTTCATTTATTTTACAAAGAAACGATGGCTAAACACGTTTCTCTTTTAGCGTCTATATTTTTAATATTGTGTGCTTTATAAACAAATTATTTAAATCTGTACATTGGTCCACTTGAGCAATATAGATCGCATAAAAGCAATAATGTTTAATAATTGTGAAACTTGATGGAATCTTCATTTTAGTATGAACGTCATCATCTACGGTCTTAAAGATGGTGGCATGTGAAGTTGAGACATCGACAGTTGTTGTTGTGTTTGAACATAAGAGTTAATTCCATTTAGTTTATCTTCAACCCAACGATTAACATCGAAGTCACGATTTATATTATTCTCTAACGTGTTCTGTTTCCGTATATAGTCTAAAAAATCACAAAAAATATATGACAAAATATACACTAGATTGAGAATGTTGAATGGGTTTAGTGCTCGCTCGGACCGTTGATCTCAAATGTGATTGTAATACAAATATTGTTTAAAAAGTGGTGGAATGTACAAAAAAGACAAAGAAAGATGCAGGAAATTTTTTTATAAAGACAGATAATGTCTAACAGATTTGAAATGATTATAAACATTCATATGTAGATTTTTAACTAAATTTTCGTGAATGTTTAAAGTTAGATAGATTCGTATTTTCATCGTAATATGGTGTTAATTGTATCTGAATGTAAATTACGTTCTTCTTTAATTAATTCATTGGAACATGCTCGTGCGTTGGATGTTAAAAGAAAAAAGCGTCTTTTATACAGTTCATTGTGTCTAACATTTATGGAAAGTTTCGTCAAGATCGCTTGTACGGTATCGGAAATAATTTCTGAGGGGGAAGGGGGCTTAAATTTCTATGTAATGTTCTATACTACGTACATTTTTTCACATATTCATACTTTCTTTTTCTTCGATCAATAGTACAAAAGAATCTGTTGTGAAGCATTTTTTGAAGTTTTAAGAAGAGCAATTGACACGATTTTGTAGTAAGCAAAATCAATGCTGCAACTCAAATGCTCGCTGAATTGTTCTCAGTATACTGTCTTATTGCAAACATAGCCATTAGTGAGACACAGTGATACAGACACTTTACCTTCTTGTGCGCGTTGAATAATATTAATCAGATCTTCATTCGTGTAATGTGAATATTTACAATTATCGCCAAATTCACAATAACCCTGCTGAGCAAATTTATTACAAAAACGTTTTGTTTGTTCTTCTTGTAATAACAACATTGGATCTGAACAGTTATCAATCAATTAATTTTTATTTTTTTTAACCTAGAAAGATGTATCAATTTACCTTTGAATTTTGTATAATATAAACGTTTTAACATAGTATGTTGAATACCACGAGTGTGATTACGTCGATTTTGTGAATTATTTGGAAACGTTTTATCGCAATAATTGCAGTAATAACGCCGACCCATTTTTGTATCCAATCTGAAATAGTTACATTCTCACTCACATCTAGACTTAATTACGTTTTTCATTTATTTTTGTTTGAACTTTTTTTTAATCTTTAGTTAGTACAGTGTATTTCATCATCAAATAAAAAAATACTTCACAATAAATGCATAGAAATATTGAAATTATTATTACAGATAAATACATAAATATAAAAAAAAACAGACTAAAAGTGCCCAACAGAATCTCTTATTACTACATTCGAGAAACAAAACACTATCTACCAATTTGACGGACGCCTTAACAATCATCTGTTCGATATCTGAACTTAACAATCTATCTTTTATTCTTACTTAGAACACAGATATCATGATGAAGTAAACATACTGTTGATTAAAAGTTTAATGTGACCAGTTTTTACAGTTAAACATGAAAAACTTATTAATTGTTAAATTTGTGCCTTCTCCAAAGATCATATTTACTTCCAGCTGAAGATTTTAAGTTGTTTTAATAATACTGCTAGATTCTATGACAAATCTCAGTTTTATTTTTTAAACAAAAATTGGTGTTTACCATACACAAGCTTCACGAGTAATAATAAAGAGTTTAGTGGAATTTTTTTTAATGGCCTTACGCTCTTAAATTTGAGATACAAACAAGTTATTGAGGTTTTATAAATGCTATTTTCCATTGAGCAAAGATGAGACTTTCGTCGAAATAGGAGGGGTCACAATAAATATCATAAAAGACTAAGAATAAACTGAACGTCAAACGTTTCTCTATAAATAATGGATCGAAAGAAATTTTTTTCTGAGAAAGAAAAGAAGATATAACATACTTTCATTACTTATTGCGCTTGCTCAGAATGTAGGACACATTTCTGATACTATGAGAAAAAGATGTACTGCAACAATTTATTGCTTACCAACTGAGAAAAAAATGTACTATTCTAACCATTGACTATTTTGAGTGCTGTTAAAATCAAGCTGCAAATGTTTCATTTCTTAAATGTTCAATTTTTAGGTTTATTTTATCGGACAATAAACATCGTATGTTTTCCTTTCTTGTTGCTTTTAGACTAATTTTTGGCAAAAAAGAAGAGAAAAATGAAAATTGATAAAATATAAACCTAAATATAACGATCGCCAACGAATATAGCAACAACAATAAGAAAAACGAAACTGAATAAACATTTGCAGACTGTTCGAAGATATAAATCGATAGAGAATAAAAAACAAATGAAATTTTTCGTATCTACAAGCACATACATTTTCATCGCAATAAAGAACAAAAGAAAAAAAATATATATAAAATACACCGGAATTGTATTGAAAAATAAATAAATAAAAAAAAAATAAACAAACAAGACATAGAGATGAGCAATGATGGATGCACCGCCGTCAAAAAACGAATTAGATTGAATAATGTATAACAAAAAACTAATGTTTGAATCAATTATTGTCAGGAATTTGGTCGATGTTGACTGTGATCACCAATTAGAACACTCACTTTAGTTAACTCTTGTAGTGCATCGGTAACCTAGAATAAGAGATATAATTGTTTTAAGAAAATGTCTTTTCATATTTCATTTCTTTTCTTTTTTTCTATAAAATAAGAGCAACAATTTTTTTTCTATTAAAAATTACATACATTTTTTAGTGCATGATGTGTAGTTATTAATACTGATCTTAATCCTGTTAATTGTGTTTGATAAAATTGTTCTTGTCTCTGTAATAACGTGTTCCATTCAGAATTTTGTTGCGGAAAACTAAAATAGAAAATATTAGTTGTTTCATTTTTGAAAAGAAAAAGTAAAAATTTTGAATTTTGTGATAAAAAAAACAACAACAACAAACAAAGAAGACGCCTTTGATGTATTATTAAAAATAATCGATTAATAACTCTTAAAATATATAATTAACAACACTAACGGTTCTCCTCTAAGCCACAGTGGATAATTTTGTACTAATCGATCTGCCATTGTATCAATTTGATTTAATTTAAAACATAAAAATACATTAACAATTAATAATAAAATCAACCTAAATAGAGAATAATAATAATAAAACGTTTAAATTTAAGTTTAAAATTGAATTTATAGAACAACGTACGTAATAACAAAAAACGGCATTATTTTCTCATTTGATAACCAATGTGTCGTTAATGTTTGTGAATGATATTTTGTGCCTAATGATGATGGAGATTGAATAGATGTAGAAGATGGAGATGATGGTAACAATTTTGGCTGTTGTCGAGCTAAAATACAAAAACAAAAAAAAAAAATTAGAATATAAAATGAAAATAATCATAATTTTCACATTTATTTACAATCAATTTGTTTATTTTGATTTTGTTGTTGATCAGTTATCAATTGTGGTAATAAGGGTGCTTGTTGTTTTCTTGACGATGGTTTATCTTGTTTTTTTGAACGTTGAACACTGTTCGAACCAGCACGAGGACGAGATGATTCATTATCAATTCGTTTCACTAAATAAATGATAGAAAAGAAAAAAATATATGAAGTTTTAATTTTAGAAAATATTCAATAGTGTATAAAAATCAATGGAATATTTTATATTCATGCAAATAGTGACATGACTATTGCTAAATGAAGAGATGTGTATATGAATAAAATACAAAACATGCATGTGCAAAAAAATATTTCTTATCGTGATTTAATTGAAAAATAAAACAATATCTAAGAGTGTATTTAGTTTAATAAAAAAAGATAAACGTCAATATAATTCTCTAAAATTTGTTCAGTATTTATTCCTATGATCCTTCTGTCTTGTTGTGTCTCATCTCAAATTCAATTCTTTAAAAGACAAAATTGTAGATAAGAAATATGTTAAACTAATCTTAAAGTGATGTTACCCTCGTTTATTTTTTGTCTGACCTCAATTAAAAACAAAAGAATTGTCCATTGACGTCAACAAATACACGCACTTCTAATAGATTGAAAGAACAGCTGTTGTTTTGTGTTATGACTTAGTTTTATGAAAATACATGCCGTTAGTTTCATACAAAAAAGAAAAAAACAGCAAGTAAAATGCACCTGCTAATGATGACATAACCTCCAAATCGAGTCTGTTATCTATAATAATTGAGAGGAAGAGATTGAAAATTATAAATATCTTATAGAAAAGACATTGAAATATGTTTAAATTCAAAATATTCCTTTTCAAAAAAAAAAATAAAAAATATTTTAAACAGTTTTTTGTTTGAGTTGATAAAAAACTTTTCTTTTGATAAAAGAAAAAGAAAGAAAACAAAAATGACATCGTATGATGAATGAAAATCTATCGATAATAGTTTTATTTCAATGTTTTGTTCTTTTATGTTTTTGCTTCTAGAGAAAAACTTTGAAAACTAATTTGTATTAACAATTAGTCTCATCAACATGGATTGAACTGAAAAATATCATTTCAAAAATGGATTAAAATATAAGAATTGGTCACTTAATTAATCGAGATTTGAATATTTTTTTTGTTTTGTTTTGATCAATTTCTCTAACAAAAAAAACAACAACAACAAGAAATTTCAATTTTTGTTCACCATTTGACAGGACAACATGAAAATAATTAAAGATAAAAACGTTTAAAAAATCAAAATTGAAGTTTTTATCTTTAATGTTTTTAAATATAATTAATTATTCTTAAGCTATTAAGCCATATCTGATTAATAAAAAGAAGCTAGCTATTTATATGAGAGCATAAAAATATTATTTATTTAAAAAGGAATATTTATTGAACTGTATGAATTAAATATAAAAATAGCAGCTAAAAAAGCAGTAGTAAAATAATATATCCAAAAAGCAAAGTAAATAAAATAAACATTTAAACTTACTCAAATCTTGAAATGAATCTTGTAATGCAGCCATGGCATTTTTTTCAATAAATGCTGAACGAAAAACAACATCTTTCAATTTTTCACTTAAATATTTTAATTTTAATTTTCTCATTTTTGCTAGTTCAACGACGATTGTAAATTATATACTTGTTATATGGAGGTATATATATATATATATGTATAGCGTGATGAAGAGAATCTATGATTTGTAATCATGTTTGAAAATCGGAAGAAGAAGTAGAAGAATATCTCTAAAGTTAAAATTTTTTTGATGTTTCATTTCTATTTGTTGAATCAACATGACACCATAAACAGCATAGTGTGTTGCAAACTTATACAAATGCACCGAAAGGAAGAAAGAGAAAGAAAACGTCAAGAGAGAAAAATAAAATAGAAAAGAAAAAAAAAGAAAGAAAGAAAGAAAAAAAGGAAGAAAGAAAATAGTTCTTTACTATCGCTATGATCACTCGCACTAGCTATTAGTAATTTTACAATAAAAAAAATCAAAATTATAGATGTAAAGATAATTGTCTATACGTTAGTTATAACGTATAAATGGCAACAATGACTAATAACATAAAACCAAATAAAGAAAATAAAAAAGTCATCGCATAGGAAACTATACACTCTTAAAAAACAGGGATGCCTTAGGAAAATCAGTGACAACAACAATTTTTATTCAAGTTAGATGAGATATTTTTTTGTTTTGAAATTATTTATTATTTAACTAGAACTGTCCGTTCAGAACAAGGAGAGCATTAAGAAAAGATCACCATGGAAATCATGCAGAATATAAGAAAACAAATTTCATCTGTACTAGTGAAAAATGAAAATTTTATAAAATTTTAGATCGAAATAACCTCGGTGAACATCATTTTGTGTTTATTTCATTTTAATAATATTTATCTCTGAAAATTTGGAAACTATTCTCAAAGAATAGGCTCGTATTTGCAAATTATTTGATAGTAAAATATGTATAGATTAAAATTTTTTTTTAAAAAGATCAGTTTAAGATTTAAGATTCTAACATTGACGTTTGATTTCAATAATCGATTATTCGTTTATAATATATTATACAAGATATGATAATACTCACTTTCAAATCAGTGAACGTTTTAGAATTCATTTTGTTTTCTCAGAGGTAATAACAAAAATAACTCTGAGAAGAGAGTTTGTTGAATGTTTCCATTTTCTGCTTCATTGTTCACTCAACTACTCTCACATCATTGCGCAGGGTAAAAACAAAACAAAAAAAAAAAATCCTTTTTTTTTTTTCCTTCGATTCGTGCATTGTTGTTTTTTTTTAATAATAATAAACCGCACCATTTAGAATTGCGGAAGAAAAAAAAAACAGAGCATAACAAAATCAAAAAAAATAAAAATAAAACGAAGAAAAGTAAAAATCATATGGCGTGATCATCATGTTCAAGGTAACGAGCAATAAGAAATATAGGAAAAAATAATATTTGTCAACGAATATAATGACATGTTTTTTGGTAAAATTATTAAAATAACATGTTCTTTAGATTATGTAGTCATCTATCATTAATACATTTTAGTATACACGATTAAATTAAACATAGTTTATTACTATTCTGTAAATCATAATCGCTATGATTAATAATGAATGCTTTTTTTTCTTCTTTTTAATAGGAAACAATATTCAACATACAAATCATCGAGAACAAAGACTGATAAACGGTATCATCGTCTCATTCAATGAAAAACACACACATAATAATCAAAGATAGAAGAACTAGACGAAATTTTTGTTTTTTTAACAAAAGTGTAGTAGTTAATCTACTATAAAAGATAAAAGTCAACAATATCTTAAACTACAAAATGATGAACAAAATTTTAAATAGAATGATAGATTAGATTATACGTTTACAAAAATGTGTACGCAACTCATCTTTATTTTTTTTCTTTCTTATTTTAAAATACTTACATTTAATAAGAATCATTAAACTTTTAACATATCGTACTTCACAGGTGACTCTTAACGTTGATTTATTGTGTCCAATTTGTACTAGACAATAGGTTGATGCAACATAAAATGTATCCGCATATTTAATACCTTCATTATGTACTTCTGTATTCACAATATAATGTGAATTCAATTTTTCATTTTCAATTATCTAAATCAGTATATATAGAAACTATTATAAAATATATAAATAATAAATTAAAAGAAAAAAAAAAAGAGTCTATATACCTGTTTTTCTGTACTAAATATTGTATTACTGCCTAAAACAGCAGCTACCGATACTTTATAGGTTAATTGTCGTTCACGTTTATTTGTTTCACGATTTATTTGCCAATCAGTTGCTTGATAATCTAAATATAAAATCATTTCTTATTTATAATTTATCTATTATTATAAATTATTTATTTAATATATAGACCTTTTATTCTTCGTGCTTGTCTATAAGCAATGATTAAATCATTATCACCAAATATATAATCAAATAATTTTTCTACAGATATTTGATATGTACGTTCAATTAAATTAGTCGCTAAATGAGTTTCACATGGACATTGTGTCAAATAGACAATATCAGCTAAAATGTATATAGCGAGAGAAGTTTGACTATAGTAGTAAAAGATAATTAATTATATTTCATTTTACCTGTTGGTGAACTAGATAATGGATTATCTTGTGATGATAAAGTAGATGTAGTCGTTTGATTGTTATATTTTTCTTCAACCATATCTGTTTGTTGTTGTTGTTGTTGAAATGGTGGCGATTGTCGAACTAAAGTATTTGTATTTGAGACATCTTCTTGATTATCTTCATCATTTTCACGATCATCAGTTATATCTTGAGAATACAATGATGAATTGGGATTCTAAAACAGAAAATTTAACAAATATGAGACATTTTCACTACAAGAAATTCGAAAAATTCTAGAGAAAACAACAACAATATCAATTATCGATAGACGAAATAATATTCAATAAATGAACTGTAATGTACTTGTTGGTAATGTTTTAGAAATATATTCAATGAGTCATAATCACATTCTGGTGTGAACGCTATGTGTTGGCCGTCAAACGGTTTGAAATCTGGCCATAATGACGGCATATATTGTATAGACAGAATTCAACAAAACAGTGCTTATATGTAGTGACCTCATCATGATGTGACTATGGCTCATTAGTTCATCTTGTCTACGTGAGATTAACACAAGAATTATTCTAGAAAATTCTCTTTTATAGTAATTTAATATAAAAAAAAGATTTAGATAGACAAAATAGAACTCTATGAATTAAAACTTAGTCCTTTTAAATATCCCAATGGATCACACAATTATAATCGATCTTTAAGATAAAAATTTAATATTTTATTATTTTATTTGTACTAAATATTATTGACACTGGAGATCATTGAGAACATTGGAGAAGAAGAAGAAAAAAAAATAATTCATCATCTTGAGAGTTAATTAGTCTCTTGTAGAATATTTCAATAATTTCAAGTAGACAAATAGATCTGATGTTTCTCAATGATTTCTAAAATATAATATTTTAGATAAAAATTTATTGATAATGAGTGCCTCTTTCAAAAACATAAATGTTACTTTATTGTTTGATTTTTTTTTCTATTAGGAGAAAAAAAAGTAACAAAGAGGAGAGATGAAAGTTGAACTGTGCAATTAACAGAGCAACTGACACACAAAAAAAGTCAATAGATAAAATATCACATTTGAAGATTCGACTTGTAGACATGTAGTTCTCTATAACCCACTTTTTACTCAATTGGAAATAAATCTAAATGAAAGTTTAATTAATTTTTATTCATCTTTCAAAAGGCATGTCGATTATAATGATGTTTATATTTGACAATTTAGAATAATAAACAGAAAAAAAATTAATAATAATTGCATGATTTTATCTGGGAACAAAGAACAATTTTTATTTTTCCTGTTTTTTCTTCTTTTCATTTGTTGTTGAAAAAGAGAGCTGGTTTTTGGGTTTTGTTTTTTTTTATAAAAAGAAAAGGAAAGAAAAATATGATCGTACGATCAAAAGACCAATGTATGTGTATTATTACGCAAAACAATTAAATGAAATCTATCGATTTCTTTTTGAAAAGATATTGAACAAGTTCAAACTAAGTAACACAACATACAATAATAATATATTCTCAATCGTATTTTCAACTTTGTACATAAGAGTAACAAACTCAAAAGCAAATTTTATTATATTTTAATACATTTCACTTTTTTAGCTTTTATTCACTAGTTATTTTTTATTATACTGAAATAGAGTGTTATGATGAACTTTCTATGAATGATATCAATATAAACAAAATTTTAATATTAAAAATCAATTAATTGAAAGATAAGTTCAGATCAAACTTATTTTTGAGTTCTACTTTTATAATACAGAGAAGAAAATGAATATTAAAAACAATATTCCTTACGTATATTTATTTTTCTTTACTAGTTTTACATGTTATTAGTAATGCCAACTGTTAGAGGTTCCCGTATTTAAAAAATAAAAAAAAAATATCTCGTTTCCGGAATCAATTATTTGATCGGGAAAAAAAAAATAAAAGAAGAATTACCTCGTTGTTTTTCGTGATTGTGTGCTTTCCAATATAAAAGAGAGAATGAGAGCGCACGAGAGAGAGAAATAACAAGTTAATAAATCTCGTACACTTATTAAAGTGACGTGATGAAATCTATTTAACTGGATATGATGGGTATTCACTCGTTATTTTTCTTTTTTCTTTTTTATCACACGTGTTTTGTTGTTATAACAAGCATAAAAATTTCACACGTCATATCGTTGGTAAAATGCTTCTAGTTTTCAATAGTGGACATTTTTAAGAGAAAGAACAAATAAAAGAGAGAAGATAGGAGATAGGTCACCGTTATTGTATATTTCATTATGTTCTCTTAGATAAAAAGAATTGTCCGATTAAGTAAGTGTGCAAGAGAACAGTAATAAATCATGTCATCTTTCTCCCTTAAAATTAGATTCTAGAAAAGGCCAAGTTTATAAAAAGTAGTCAAAGCACATATCATCAAAATTGAAATGAGCGTATATTGAATAGTTCGTTAAAGAAAAGAGTTGTGTCTAATAACGAAAGAAAGACAGAGTATAATAATACTGCTAATAATTAAACAGAGAGAACTAATAGAGCGATTTCATCTATGAAATGTGCACAAATCTAACATGATGAAGAAGCAAACCTATTTGGATTTAACATCCCTAATCGACTCCCCTAAAAATCGTTGCAGGTCTATTGGTTCATTCTTTTTAGTTTCATATAACTAAATTAGTAATTAAGTGTCAGACATCATCAGTGATACCAATGTAGCACATATTAGCCAACGAAGGTTGACACAGCAATAATGATTTACTAGAAGAAAATTCGTAAAATTTTACCATAGAACTATATTAATATATTATATAACTATATTTATATATTGTTTATCTGCAAAACAAAAGGTGAATGGAAAGTTGGCAGGGACTCCTCGGGGATTGCATATGTTGGGTACTCCCCAGAAAGCCCCTAGGGATTACATATTTCGCATACGTTTCGGGAACTCCCAGGGATTATGAGGATGACTCTCTGGGGAGTTCCCGAGAATTAGTTAGGCATTTTTCTGTGACTCCTCGGGTATTTTCTGACGAGGGAACCGCCCCAGGTGCCCAACTCTGATTTCCTTCATTCATACCTCGTTTTATAGAGCACATCGAGCGGGTAAAAAGCCTAAGAGAATTTTTGCCCATTACTCTTGAAGTCTCGGTATTCTGCAAAACCAGTTTTTGAGAAATTCTAAAAAATAATCAAAACCTTTCATAATGAGGCATAATTATAGCCCGCACATTTCTGATTAAAATGAAATGTCTTCCAGCTCTACATGACCTTTCTTTGCAAAGTTATAGAATTTACAAGAAAAGTCCTAAATTAATTTCTTATTTCTACAGCTTTGAGCTGACAATGAACATTTAGGGCTTTTTTTGTAAATTCTGTAACTGTGTAAAGAAAGGTCGTGTAGAGCTGGGAGACGTCTCATTTTAATCAGAAATGTGCGGGCTATAATTATGCTTCATTATGAAAGGTTTTGATTATTTTTTAGAATTTCTCAAAAACTGGTTTTGCAGAAAACCGAGAGTTCAAGAGCCATGGGCAAAAATCCTTTTAGGCTTTTAACCAGCTCCATGTGCTCTATAAAGCGAGGTATGAATGAAGGAAATCGGAGCTGGGCACCTGGGGCGGTTCCCTCGTGAGGAGAGTCGACTAGGGAAGGATATCCATCTACACTAATTTTATCAAATAAAGTTCGCCAAGAGCAAAGAGTAAGATAAACCTAGATGAATATATTTTAGAGTATACTTATATACTTCAGGTGTGCATATGAGGGTGTACAAAGTGAGAATGACCTTTGTGAACAGTTGCACATTTCTGCTATTCTAACATCAGTTGTTTATCTCATCAGTAGAGGTGTGAGCCTTAAACAAACAATTTCCTGTCAGAACTTTTAGATGAAAGTCTAAAAAAAATTGAAGAAGATAAAGAAAAATACTTTTCTGACTGTTTTTATCGATTTTTTATCAGCCATGGTTATTTCTGTATATTTTTTCTGCTTTCTACCAGGGGTGCCGAATTCGGTGACTCATGGGGCACAGAACAAAGGACTGTCATGGTGATTCCTTTGTTCTGTTCTTTTATAGACTTTTTGAACTCCAGTCCTTGTTACAAAAAGTGACCCAGAATAAAAAATAAATGAGAGCATGAAGTGATAACTCTCATTCGAGAATTCGAAGTAGTTGATAGAAAGTAAATAAAATAAAAGTTGTCTATGAAATTTGACCACCGTCATTAGCAGTCAATATCATACTGTCTAAAAAGTTCAAGGTTTTCAGGAAGAATTATAAAACTTTTTTAATTATTATTATTTTTCTATTTTAATCAATTTCTAATCTTATTTTGTACGAAATGAATGGATGGTATAAAACGAAGCTGTACTCATGTCCCTTAAAACGTATTTAAAATGCTTACATCGTATTTGTCATAATTTCTACCACCAGCTTTTTCATTTGTTCCATTCGATAAACTCTGATTATCGTCCGATTTATTCTGTTTATTTGACGATGATTGCGCATTGGTTGTCGATAGTCGTACAAGATGATAGTTATCTTCTTCATCAGTTGTCATATCTAAATAATCACCATAACTCTCATGCACCATAGCCCATAATTGTTGAGATGATAATGGCTGTAAAAGAAAAGTAATTGTCTCTATACACATCTCTGTTATTAATAACTAATTAGAGTTGATATTCGCATTACTTGATCTAATAATGCATTTTGCCATATTCTAAATATCATCATGTATGTTTTATCTCTTGCCGCAAAACTTGCAAAAAAATATCGTTCTTGTTTGTTGTTTCGTATTTCAATGGCATTTGGTATGACTTTGGCTGTTTTTTCTTTTGTCAATGAAACGATGTCTTTACATCGAATACATAACTATTTGAAAATAAAAAATAAAATAAAGACGATTAGACATTTTTTAATCAGTCAAAAATTAAGCTTACATTCGTTTCCCATTTTAAAAAGTTTGCATGAAAACAAAAATAATTTTGTGATAAAAACATTCGTCCTTGAATTAATATTTCTTTTTGCCATGCACAAGAATAATCTTAATCCGAAGATAAATGATCGTATATGATAAAAAATATATGTTTATATTAACACTTACCAACAATAAGTCGTTCATCATTAGGTAAATCTTTAAATATTCGTTTAAATTCTTCGCTTCGTTGTCGATAAGTGGCTTGAAATGGCTAAAAGTAGAATAAAAAATATTTGTAATCAATATTCAAAAAGGTTGTCTTATCATAGCATCAGTATATGTGTTACTTTACCTAATCCGAATCCATTAAGCATTATTAATACAAAAAAAAACGTGCACTATTCCTTATATCAAAGAAAAATAATTTTACGATTAGGAAGAAATGTACAATTCCACTGTGAATTTGAATATACACTATCATCGAATTTAAGGTCATTATTTTTAGCCACTTAATAGTCAAATGTTAGACAATATTCTTTTAAATATACAGATTTAATAGCGTTAAAAACGTATTTAGTCAAATTGAATGTCAATTTATATTGCCGATGAGTCACGCAACGGTAAAGGTCACTGACAGAACGGTAAACCGATAAATTACTGTTACAATTGCATGCCTACTATCAATCATGATCAAATATTGTATTTTTCCTGGAATTAATTAAAAAATTTCTACTATTCCTACTGCTGATGCTATTGAAGTCAAATCTGAAATGTAAATATTTTGCCAGTGCATTAACGTACATGCATTAATATAATACTGACTAATTTTATCTCAATGTCTGAAACCTGAGGATCATAATAACCTATTCACTTCAAATTTTGTATGGATATGGTAGTCTAAGCAAAAAACTAATTAACCGACACATTTCAACTGATCTGGCTAAGTGGATCGAGTTTAGGAACATCCTTTTGACTTGAAATTCTCAGAAAATATTGTCCTAACTGACAACTTTATCTATACAAAATTTCAAGATCAAGTATCGTACCAGTCAGAATGAAACGTATCACTAACTTCAGAAGGCAGTAGTATCTTCATCAAAACATGTTCATGAACTGGGTGCTTTACTCGTACAAAAATATTATCAAGAGTCTCTGCATTCTCCGAAATCTCACCTTCCCAATGTATAGTTCCTTTCTACCTCCTTTGTCAGTCAAATTTCAAAGTTGGAACAAAACTAGAAAACCACTGAAGTGTCTGTTAACTGAATACATAGTAAACTGTAGACTATATCATCATATATAAAGTGTCGGGTGAACAGCAGATTGATTAGATTCAATTCACAGAAAATCTCAAATGAATGACCATTCATCATGGTGTCTGAGATTCAGAGGTCGGGATGCTTTTGGTTAGTGCGATGTATTGAATTAATAACCTTGAAAATGATGATGTTTATCCATATTAGTACATGCATGTCCCCTTCTCTGATAGGCTCAGCTCTCGCGATTTTACCCAATTTCTTATAGCACATGTTATTTGTTTTGATGCTTTACGATGTAATGGTAAGGATTGTACCGATATCAATTGTTGTTCTTCTTCATCTTCTTCTTCTTGCTTTTGAGATTCACGAAAGGATACTGATTGGACAGGATATTTATGATAGGAGACACTTTGTAAACGATGACTCGAATGGCGACGACGACGTGCTGGACTTGCCACTGGGGGTTTTCGACTGATATGTTTCTTACTGGAATGTCGAGCAGATTTTGTTCGTTTAAATGATGTTGTAGTTTCCAGTTGCGGTTTTAAATTATGTTTCTGTTGTTGGAGATGATCTGTCCATGATTTTGATCGACGACGATGTCGCACTGAACTTGCTTTTCGTTTTTGTATTATTTGGGATAATTGTTGTTCACGATCATTATTATTATCACTATCCGTAGAAGGAGGTATATGAAGAAGTTCTTGTTTTCGATCTAAAGGATTCGTTGTGAATGATCGAGCATTCGATACAGAATCCGATGCACTGGCAGCAATTTTATTCTCATGATAATTATCACTCTCATTTGTTGGAGTATTTTGAGAAAGTGTTTGTATTGATGTTGTTGTGAGTATCGGTGTTGATGGTTGTGTTGCTTGGGTGTACAATGATGCCGAGGATGAAGAATGTTGAAGAAATTTTAGTGGTTTTATTTGTTGATCAATACCATTTTGTTCTAATGATAATGTCGAAGGTAACTTTTTTACGTTACCATTCATCCCTTCTTGAATCACTGAATTTGATCTTAGAATTTCATCACCTGTTATACTAGTATTCATTACGGTTTTTTCCAACGATTTTTTTGTTGTTATTAATTTTGTTTTAATAAGGCCAATTACGTTTGCTGGACGAATGTGATCCTTGATAACTTGTCGAGTAAGATAATCATTTTCATCTTTATTATCTTCAATAACAATAGAAGAATTTTCAGAAGCATCCGCTGTTGTACGAGTAAAACGAATCATTCATATACAACTATTATTGTTTATTATTTTTTAGATTTTGTTTCTTTAAAGTAAAATGTTAAATACGTGACTGTATCATATTAAAATCGAGAAAGATATTTCATCAATGGCACTTATAAAAAATAAACGAAAAAAAGTAATAAAAACTAACTCAACGTGTCCAAAAACAGTCGATATATTGTAATTTTCTTGGTTAGTCAATGAAGCGAAAGAAATATAAAGTCAAATAGACTGTATAAATGTTTGATTGAATCCACCTTTTACTTATCTACTTATATTTTTTTTTGTTCTTCCAAAATCAAATACAAATCCCGTGAGAAAATAATGTATCACAGTCTAATGCTGCTACTAGTATATATCTGTTCATTTGAAAAATAAAATAAAACAAATTAACAAAAACAACCAAACTAGTCTAAGTTCAATCATTGATTACACACAGGCACGTGAATACCTACCTATATTTGTGTCTGTACACATAAGAAATAAAGTAAAAAAAGAACAAAACGAAAAAAAGAGAAGAAAAAAAATATTTATAAGATTACTCGATGATCGGTTTTTCTCTCATTTCTATCACATACTATATTTAGTTAAACATAGTATTCATTCGTCTTTTCTTTCTTTTTTTCTACATATATAATTATCTTTTTAAACATTTTGCTGTCATTTTACGTATTGTTCGACAGAGAGAAAGAAAGAGAGTCTCATCATCATTTGAATTACAATAAGAATGGTAAAGAGTAAAAAATATTGTACAAACACACTCAAAATATATGATCTATTATAAAGACTGTACACTATTATTCATCAGAGATGAGCGAGTACTTTCGTCGAGTACTTTAGTATGTTAGATTTTGTCAAAATGTATAACAGAGAGCAGAGACCAGTTTTATGTCTGTTCGATACAGTTTTTTTCCACGTTATAAAACTATATAAAATACTACATCTTTTTATGCTTTGATCGAGAGAAATTTAATTCGACACCAAATACTCAGAAGTTGAAAAGTTTTTCACTAACTAACCAGTTTTGTAACTTGGAAAAAACTGTATCGAACAGGCATAAAACTGGTCTCTGCTCTCTATTACACATTTCGAAAAATATAAAATTCTAAAGTGCTTGAGAAAAGTATTCGTCCATCTCTGTTATTCACCACCGTAAGCATAAGTAACGACTGCGTTTGAGGCGAATAACAACACTTACTTATTATATGATCAACTTTCAAAATAAATGTCTACCCTATTCATAAACATCGTTATCATTATTTAATGAATTTTTGTCAAACATACAAGTTGACGTTCTGTCGTCAGAATTTGAAAAAGGAATGATCAAACATTGTCAATTATTTCTATATTAGATGGTAATATTAAATATTTCCGTGTGAAAAAGATCAATAAATTGGAAAAAAAAATATGTCGACATATAAAAACAACAGAATAGTATCGTATATCAGTGCATAGTCATTTTTTCGTAACTCGAAACGATTTTATAGTGAAGAGGATCAAATATAGCTCGTTTTTTTGTTTTTTTGTTTTTTTTCTAACGTCTTTGAATGCAACTGTTGAATACCACTATTATGCTTTAATAATAGACAGATTGAGACAAAAGAATGACATTTATTTATAGTCAAACATGATGTATCATCTAGTGTAAGGTAGCTACTTACATTGTACCATGCTTTTTTTCGTTTTTCTTTTGATTGTCGTGGTTTATTATCTTTAGAATCAATAACTGTTGTTGTTGAGGATGATGCATTATTTCTCGATTGTTGTTGCTGTTGTTGTTTTGATGGCGGTGATTCATTCGATGTTGTGCTCGTGGATGATGATTCAAAAGGATGATTACTTATTTTCTCATTTGTTGTATTCGATGTTGATGCTGGCGATACACTTGAGCGTGACTCTGTATCACAGTATAAATCGTTATTATTGAGATTTGTTAAAATATGAGATGGTGCATCGACTGCTATTGTTATTGTTGCTTGATTTACTGGCTCACTTTTATTTCGTCGATGTTTTAGTTCAGAATTAGGCACATGCCTTTTTTTAACAATAGCTGATGATGAATAAACGGTTTGACGTTGATGTAATTGCGAATTAAAATCATTTTCATCATCACCGTATGACGCACAAGAACTACTCGTTGTACTATAACTATTATTGTAGGAATCATCTAGAAGTGAAAATTGAGGTTGTTGTTGTTGTTGTTGTTGTTGAGCTTCATCATTCATTGAACCAGTATGTTGAGAAGCTAACGATGACTGGAGTACGTCATCACCGTTATTATCAACCGTATCGATTGTACCAGATAAAACCGAACACGAAGGTAATGGTTGCGTTTTTATTTGCTGTTTTTTGGACAATGATAATGGAGAAGTCGAAACGGGAAGAATCATTTCTGCTGAATCATCGGTAACTACCGGTGAGGATGATTGATCATTTAATGATAAGTTACTAAAACATAAGAAAATAAATCAACACAGTGAATGACAGAATTTTTATTCTTTTTAACAGCTTAGCTCTAGTGTATGTAGTTAGAACAAGTAAATTAACTAAGAGAGATTACTAAAATATAAATATCATTTAATACAGATATGGAATAGTTTTTTTGACATTAACTTTTTTTCATAAGAAAGAAAGAGACTACGTTATCTTTCTTTACCGTTACCGTTTTCTTTTTTGTTAAAATGAAATCAAAAGTTTGTTGATTTAAGATTGTTCGATAAAAACAAAGAGTATTGTGTCTGAGCGAATGAACTATGAGAAATAAACTTTATCAACGAACAATTTTATTAATCTGTCGATTCAATCTAATAATCTACCGAGACATAGTTGAAACAATGCGGATGTCATTTTGTCAATTTTTTCGTTCTTTCTCTAGGATATGATGTGCAAGAAATATTTTGTCGTCGAACATTTCCATTCTTGAAAAAACAAGTTATCTCATAGTTTTGTCATTTTTCATCAAAAAACAAAAATCACAGACATGTCGAAAATTCTAAGATTCCGTTCTATTCCTTCACAAAAGTCATAATTTATGCAGATAAGCCAAGAATACAATGGAAGTATCAGAAAAGTTTCTTTATTATACCTTAAAAGTTTTTCTGTAATAGATATGGAATATGTCAGACGATAAACACACTTCATCTTTCAGTGATAAAGAGTCAAATATTTCTTATTTTTATAATAATAAAAGAATCCGCAGAGTCTTCGGTCACTTTCTTTTTTTGTTCATTATATACTGTTAGAATCTAAACGGAACAGTACACTACATTATACTCGAACATTCATTTTTCAATGTGATTCAAACAAGAAGAAGAAGAAAAAAAGAACAATTATCAAATGTTTACCATCGTATGATCAACAGCAGGTGAAGTATAAAGAACGAGAAAAGAAAAAAAGAAAAAGATATATCTATTAAGAATACATTGAATAATATGAAGAACAACGTAGACTGTCTGTCCCTATTTATTTAGTAAATTGAATTTTGAGATTTTTACTACTATGATGAACAACATCAACCATAGAACGAGTTATAACCTTGTGGAAGAAAAAGAATTTTTTTTTTTCTTTTATCTTACCTAGCCGTACCATCAACAGTATCACCATTTTGTGTTGAGAGAAACTCAGACATAACAGAAATCTAAAATAATAATAAAAAAATATATATATATTCATTTTTACGACTAACTGGATTCTCCCGACAGCTACTCCAACAATAATATATATGAAAACTCATCGCTAAAAGAGAAAAAGAGAAATTTCACACAAATGAATTATGTGTCAATAAAACTATCATGCCAACGGGTTCTCTTTAATCGAAAAGAAAAAATAAATTATTTCACACAATACTTGGGAGGTTTGATTTTTCATAGAAATATTTCATTAATAAAAGACAACAACCGAATTCCAGATGAGATAGATAGCAACTGTATTCTCTTTCATGCATAGCGCTTGATACCAATGGTTATTTTAAATTTTTTATATCTTTAACTAAATATGTTACGAGTTTACGGTTATTCTAGTCAAACTTGTAAAAATAGTATCTAAAAGTGCGTACAAATCTTTTATTCATTCAAATTTTTGATAGATTTAACAAAAAACAAATAACATGGATAAAACATTCTCAAAAATAGAAAGCAAAAGCAAGCAATAAAAATAGAATCACATGAAATATTGATTGGTGCATTCAACGCGTAAAAAATGTCTCTAAAATAAAATAATCATTACTAACGACAAAAAATAAATACGTATCAAAAATAGAATAGAAAAAAACAAACTACGAATGTTAAAAAGACAAACGAAGATTGAGTATCATTTTATGGAAAAATAACAATAGCAGTAACAGATAAGCCACGACACATTGTTTGTGTATCACATTATTTGTTCACGATTTTCACTAGAATAATAAAGTATGATGAGATAAAACATAGATAATCTCGAATATGTTTAAAAATAAAAAATGGCGCGACAGGTACTCCGTAATTATGAACGCACGTAGAAATATTTTCAGTATGATCGTACAGCCAAGGGATGCCGTTGCGATGAACTTCGACGTTTTTTTGCAGTCGTTTTTCCTTGCCTTAAATAAATTGCAAAAGAATCGCAATCAATAATTATCCATTCAGAATAAATTTGAGCAGGGGCAATTCAAAATGCACTTAGACTACACTAGTGATTTGAATAGATGTAGAGTCTGTGCATCTATTCAAATCACTAATATAGTTTAAGTGTAGTCTAAGTGCATTTTGAATTGCCCCTGCTCAAATTTATTCTGAATGGATAATTATTGATTGCGATTCTTTTGCAATTTATTTAAGGGAAGGAAAAACGACCGCAAAAAAACGTCTATAAATCACGAAAGGAAGCACTTTTATTCCTTGGCGGTATGATCAGTATGCATCAAACAAAAAACGTCAAGTTATTTCATAAAATTATGAAATGAAAAGAATTTCTTTTAGGTTGTATTAGTTGTATCAAATATGTTTAATAAAGTCCTTTCTCAATATTATATTTCTCTGAACCGTTGCTATGTTCAATCAAGTTTTAACTAAAATATAGCACTAATTTTAGTATATAACAGAAATAAATAATAATCATACGTAAATAACTGGAGAACATACTGATGTGTTTTATGTTGTTGTTTTTTTCAGTAATAGAGCTCTTAATCTTATCTAACTAGCTACTGCTATCCATGGATTAGCTGAAGGTATATTTTTCATTATTATGAGCTAACTAGCTCTTCACTAGAACAAAAAAAACGAGGAAGAAAAAACGTTCGATTAACTCTGAAAATATGAATGATAGAAATTTTACTAAAATCTTTAAGAAGGCATAATAATTTTCCTATTAGCAAACATATTCATTACATTGTGAGAAAGACAAAAGAAAATGTCATTTTTAATCTTTCAGTTGGATTCATAAAAAAAACTCTGAGGATTCTAATACATCTTCGATACTAATTACGTCGATAAAATAGTGGAATACTATCTATACTTTCTTGGACGAAATTCATTTCCTATAGACAATAATGAAGATAAGAAACACATACATTCTCAAACACAACTCTTCACTTCAGATCAATAGGAAAAATAAAGCGATTTTTACGTTTCTATTGTACGAGTAGAATATAGATCTGATCGCCGGTCACCTATACTTTCACCGTCTCATTCAACTAAATGACTGAGCTATCTCTTTGATTTCTTTTGCTCCTGATTGATTCGAACATACATTTTCCAAAATCGATGTAGAATCCAGAATATCACTAATACAATAATGCAAATAATTCCTACAACAATATACGCCCATCCTAAAAATGGATTTTTTCCACCCATCCATGATGTTGTACTTATTATAAATTGTTTACGACCAGCAAAATTAACAACAGGATATTCTATAGTAACAATAGAATCGTCATTAGGTTGGAAACTATGTAAACGGATTTTCACTACTTACGGTATACAATACTCAATATATATGTGCCTTTTGGTAAACCTTTATTAAATGTTCCTGTATCATTAATTGATGATTTTCTATATAATTTTCTATATAATTTACGAAATGTTGGCATAGCAGCTGTACGCATCCAAACAATAAAGTCTTCATTTTCAAAACCATTGTTATGGCGATCGGATGGATCTAAGTCCCATGCTGTTTTGTTTCTCCAATTTGGTGGGTTAGCATATTTACTAAAATCTAGAAACAAACAAAAAATTTTCAAATATACAGCAAGAAAAGAAGTAGAAGAAAATAATACATACATGATGTACCATTAATGGGATTTCGAAATTTAACATTTTTATCTGTACTCCATGCAATGCCTGTGTTTTGTAATGGTACTACTTGATCATTGAATGTTAATGTTAGCTTATCTATGAATATATCGAGTTATTAATGTCTCAATGACAAAAAGAGAGTATATACCGTTAAACATGCTATTGGCAATTACTCCACATGGTGCTATAATTCGTGAATCATTGGCTTTCTGAAATGGCTCACACTCTTCTGCCGCTGTAGTATCTTTACCACGTAATTGAGTATCATCACGCGATTTAGCATAACGTCGATGATTTTGATAATAGTTTACCAATCCATAATAAAAGTAAATATCACCCTGTAAAGCGGAACAATAGCATTTTAATTGTAATACCATTACTATTAAACATATGTAAGGGTGATTATTTATAGATTTAAACTTACATTATAGTCAGAAGGCAATGTAAAACTAATGTTACATGTACAAGGTTGATCTGGAACGCTATTATTTTTCAAATAATCTGCACATGTTTGTGTCGTATTATTAAAACGACATCTGGTATCCGTATAGTCAATATCAAATTCGAGAACCTAATTCAAAGATTAATACAATCTATCATGAGCAGGAAAAAATGAATACATACTCGATTTGAAGTAATAACTAAAACAATACCAATGGGAATAAATGTTAGACCAATAATAAAAAAAACAGGTAAGACAATATTGGCGGTTAATATCGGTTGCCAAGCTGGTAAACGCTGTTGTTTAAATGCTGTATCTAAACAAAGATTGTTTAAGGATAACAATAAATCTCAACAAACATCAATGTTTCTCTTTTCTTAGAAAAATTCATTGAAAATTCAAAAGACTGATACTTTTGAGATTATAGCAAAATTTTTGATACTTAATATTGTACTAAAAAGAGTATTTCATCTATGTAGATTTGCGAAACACACTCAGAATTAGTCATAATAGAACAAACTTAATGTACAAACATTAGTACACTCGATACTTTCGTATCAGATGTACTCAACTAATGAAAAATAAAAACAAGATGTAAGTTTTTTTTTTCACAGATAAAGAAATTGTAAATCTTACTCTCTTAGAATGGGCTACTTTCGTTAGATCAACTGATTTTAAAACGGATCATTTGTTTCTTTTTTTTGCGTACCAGCTGGTTTTTTACTTTGTGGTTGATTTTCATCTTGATCATCTGTATTTTTTCTTGTGGACATAGTTTACTCTTAATTTTATTCTTCTCACACTAATGACATCGTCTAAAACACAGTTATAAGTTAAAGTTCAACGATAACAAACGTATTTGTTTGCTTTTGTATTGGATACTTCTTTCAGTGTATTCATCATCTCACTGTGCGTCGGTCGGTATATAAATATATAACAAAAAATAGATAAACTTATAACAGAACAGAGAAAAAATGATTAGTTAACTATATATACTAAGCGTTATCATGAATTACAGATGTCAGAAGAATTCATTCTACTAGATTGATTGACATATATATATTCGTCAAAGTAATCTTCCATTCTATTATAAACTTTTCTCCTGCGTACGAACTTCTTAGTGTATAATAAATATAAATTTTTTATTTTAATTGTTGTTTGACACAAGAAACTGTTAAATTTTCCATGTTTGTTGTTGCATGATGTATATCAGATCGTATTATATATTATATGATGTATCCATATTCTAAATGAAGATCAATAAATACAAAAATCTTTTCTGTGGAATAAACGATGCTCTGCTGTTTAACTGTGTACAGAAAAAAGTTCAATACACTAATCAAAAATATTTTTTTGCATAATATTTGATCAAATGAAGTTCTATTTATTATTTATGTGTAAAGTTAAAATACACTAAACAATGTGTACAAAATTTTAAAATAAATAAATAAAAAAATAAAGTCATATTATGGACGGAATATAATTGATTGTATCGCAGAAATAAATTCAAAATTTATATTCGCGTTTATTTACTTTTGTTGTTGACATTTTATTTTTTGTAGGATCAACAGATGCGACATCATTTACCGGTGTTTTTACATTTTGAACATGTATAACATTATTATTGTCTTCTGCATCGCTTGAACTCGACGAAGAAGTGGTTGAAGATGATCCACTTGCAGGATTCTCATCATCATCTAAAAAATTATACTTTAAGCGTATAGAACACAGTTTGTGGAACTAGTAAGATATTCTCTTTTATATAAGCAGAAAAATAATTCGAACTGAAGTCTCAATCATTTCAAAGTTCAAAAATAGTTAACATTTGGCTCCTTTCTTGTTGATTTTTTAGAAAAACGTTTAGAACATCACAAGATTACAGTGTTGTTACTTGTTAGATTTGTCTATATGAATAAATTTCATGTAGCTGTAGATAGATTATCTTAGAGTGCAACGAAATATCCGAAAAAATAACAAGTAGATAAACAAAAGTAAGTTCTACAAAGTATTACCAACTTTATTGTTTTTTGTTAATAGACTACTCATTTTTGAAATTTCCTATCGAAATTTCTTAAATTTAATATTAATAATTATAAAAGCCAAATTCTTCCTACAGAATGAGAATAGTTTTCTAATCTTGATAAAATAGTAACAGCAGTTAGCTGTTTTCAGATTCATGTTTATTTAATATTAAGTAATAAATAGTAACAGCAGCTGTTTTTAGATATATAATATTAAATTAACATTTTATTATTATTATTACTTAATATTATTTAATATTAAATAAACATGAATCTAAAAACAGCTGCTGTTACTATTTTATCAATTTTTAAAACTTCTACCCCTAAACAGATATAATATTTTCTAATCTTTTTCGTCTTGAATAAAATTTTGTTTTACAATCGCTTTTTTAGTTACAGAAAAGTCAAGTTTTCAAAACTTGAACTGTCCCTTACTATGCGTACAGTCCTCGAGACTGTGTTTTTGTAACTTCTCTCTTAACACAATTGAGAAAATATACGTCAGACGTCATCAAAATGCTATGGTGATTCGATCTTCAGTGGCGGCCACCCATCCACTTACTAATCGTCGTTCTGACGCTACACTAGAGAAAAGACAAATTTATTGTCACAATTCTCTATGAGTCGCGCAAGTCAACTCGAAAAAAAAAATTTTTTTGATATTAAAACTCAGCTTGTTTATTGAGGGAGAAGTTACTGAAAGACAATCTCGAGAAATACGGATGAGTAAGGGATAGTTCAAGTTTCCAAGCCTTTGGCTTTTCTGTAATTAAAAAAGCGATTGTAAAACAAAGTTTTATTCCAGTACAAACAGATGGAGTTTAAATAGCAAAACCTTTTTCGTCTTCTGTTGTTTGATCTTTTTTTGTTATAAATATAGTAGTTTTTGTTTTACTAATAAGTTGATAAAAGTCACATAAAAAAATAGCCAATTCAAGAGCATGTTTATACGAATATAGTTTCATACCAACGGAATTGTACACGATTCTAATGGTACTACTAACTGGTGAGGTTACTGCTATATCAAAATCAATTGAACGTAAGTCACTGATAGAGACTTGAATGATTCGATTGAGAAACTTTGTTTATATATCAAAAGATGCAGAATTTAATTCTGTAAGGTAATAAGACTAAACTTGAACAGAAGCTAAGAAACTAAACTTGAAATAAGACTAACTTGGGCTTTTATAGCCCAAAAACTAAAATCTGTGAAAAATAGGTTCAAAAGTTAGGTTTTTTTTTAGATTTATCAGTTTTTTACACAGAGGAATTTTGCTAGAAGACTTAACTGCAAAATTTCGAAAAATATGTGCGAAGATGCAGAATTTTCCAGGGAGTCTTCTGATATTTTCAAAATTCTTATGGGAGTTATTTCTGGATTAAGTAAGGGAAATATTTTTCTATTTTCAGTGTGTCGCAGTTGGACAACTTTTAACTGATGTTCAAACGAGAAAAATGCTGTCAGAGATTCAAATACCAGATTTTGTAGAGCATTCAATTCTTTATCGATTGAGTCTAAAACGATCTCTCAGGACTACTAGGGTCATCCAACAACGAACAAAAGTGGCTCATTTAATCTGCGTCACCCATTAATTAGTGAGATTGGCTGCAGTTGTTTTAAAATAGTTATTTTAACTGAAAATTTCAGCAAAAACTACTTTCAAGATGTAGAATGAAATAAAATCGAAATTCTCCTTTTGATACACGCAGTAAAAGTTTAAATTCGAGCCTGCTCGAATTCTAGAATTGGATCTGATTTGAATTCAACCGTTAAGAAAATGAAAAGCTGCAGATGTTCAAAGATAGCAAAACTTTGCTATTGTAAATAAATATATTTCCATCTATTTAAGTGGTGTTGTTACTTTACAACAGATTTGATGCTCATATTCCAGTCAAAAAATTTGACGATTAAGCGCAACTGATCATGGGCTTAATCGTGCTTTTTTAGCACAATTTTTCGCCAATTAATCGCGATTTCAGCAAAAAAACATCGATTACTCGAAATTTATCGGCGATATTTTTATGACTCATTTTCAAAAGCACGATGAATTGTAAAAAAACTTTGGTGATCAAAAGTTCATTTTCTCTATCTTTTTTGTTTTATTAGTCGTTTACAGGTATAAAATGAGCAAAACTTGTCTAAAACCGTTGTTTTTTTCAAGTCTTAATCAGAACTTCGTAGCTCACAAAAGAGTATGAAATACAACGCAGATAAACATATAGAGAAAACTATAACGACAAAGGAACCCTCTGATTGATTGAACTCATGTTTACGAAGAAAAACTACTGAACTGTTCTCATTTTTCCTACAAAAGTCTACTAATTTTAGAAAACAAATTTTTTTTATCTCAAAATTTTCATTGATCTTCTGATCAGATAAGAGAAAAACATACAACAAAAAAAATTGATGATCATTATCTATCCATAATAACAATTTCACAAAGAACAGAAATCTCTTTTTTTCGTATTCAAAGACGCTTAAAGACTTAATCAATTACTACAATCAAGTTGACATGCATCATGTTAGATTATTAAGTACTTTAAACAACATCTATTGTTCAAGCATTCATAGTTTCCAAATATATATAATTATCATGTTAATAGAATATTTCAGATTTATCTAATTTAGTAATACTCATTTAAAAATATTAGTTCTAAGATCAATCAGGGTACAGTAGGCACCTTTCCACAGAGCAGATGGACATGTGGTTTTTTAACTTAAAAAGTGGTTAGTTTTGCTCAATATTACTTTTTTACGTCATAAATGTTAATAAAATTTAAAAAAAAACAAATTCGAAAAGAGTTTGTTTGATGAAAAATCCCTGAGGTGGACCCTTGCCACAACTTTTCGGAAAACTTTTTTATGTGAGAAACTAACAAATTATATATCATTCGATGCAGTTTTTTGTGCTGATTCTGAACATGACATCACTTTTTGTTGAAAGTGTTTCTGAACTGAGAAAAATGAATTTTACCTAGAAAACCGGGTTTTCTTTCGAAAAACTAAGGTTTTTTGGAAAACCTGTACCTAATTCTAGGAAAAGAGTTATTTTATTTTCCTTATTATTTTATTTTGCAAACAGACAAATACAATTATTACTACTATGGTATACTAGAAATAATTTCATCATTCAACGTACTTTTAATAACATAATGTCTAGTCGGATATGTGCATCGACTCTACTATCCATCATTTATTTGATTTAATAATTGATGATGAAGATTTTTATTTACCTATTCATTCGTTTTAGATTGATTCGATGTTGACACTTAACGTAATATATCTTAATAATTGCTTAACAATATTATCTAATGTTTTATAACTTGAATATGTATATATACAGTACACTGCAAAAGTAGCGACTCCCTCTGTAACTCAAGAATCATGATAGCGAGGGATTTCTAATTTTGTGTAGTCATAGCTCTTACCAAATGCCCATTACCCATCAAGTTTGGACTCCTTTTACTAGATAGTTCGTGAGATATAAGCGATTTATGTCTTTTCCGTGAAATATCAATAGCTCCTGACCTAAGAGAGACGAAAACTTTTTCTTTTTACTAAAATGTAGCCACGACTCTACTCTATCTACAATATAATATTTTGTGAGTTTGCTGTTTGTAGTCAGTGCAATACAGCTATTTTACGGGCGAGGTCCCTGAAAATGAGGTTCTGAAATATGAGGTCTTTTCCAAGAAAAATTCATAACTCATTCTAAAAACATCAATTCGACTTCAGACTCACAGCAAATATG